GTATGAGCGAAGATGTGACGGTTTCTTCGAAGTACCCTTCAAATATACGCGTAGAAGCTTAACAAGAGTAGACACCAGATTGACCGGGTTGGGAAGGAGGAAGTGGGTTTTAGTTCAATTGCGAAGGTGCCAGGTGCAGAAATTGTGTCCTGCAATTACAAGAACACTGAAGATAAATTGTAATGTTTTTTTAAAATCGCAACAAACCGTTCAAAGAAACCATAAACACCAAGAAAATACCATACATTATGTATAACGCAAACTAAAATTCAATATACCTTGGGCAAGATATGAGGAGGAGAATGAAGAATCACACGGAGCCTCGGATTCGTGTCAAAACAAAAACAAGTCAAACATCATCGTGCATTTACTATCACCTAATACAAACCATGTTGATAAACTGATACAGATAGAAATATTATAATATGATACAAGAAATTCGAACTTGTTCTTATATATATAAGTAATAAATCATACATTATCTGTTGTGCATTTTTAGTAAAATGGATCACAATCAGTCTCTATGGTGACACATTTTAAATCAGATGATACATATAGGAAATCGTTATTCTGAAAAGAGAACACGTGTTTTACAGACAAGTAAGGAACGCACCCATATTCATTTGCCACGAAGAAATACCTTATTTCCCAACCAAACAATTTCTCCATGCAATATAGTATAATTCATATGTCATCTATTGACACGTCTCAAGGAACTCGTCATACAAGGAAAAAATCATCTTGAATATCGAATTAGTCTCTATGTACGACACCATAAGTTGCGAAATCAGGTTGTTACTATCTAGAAACGGAAAAAATGTAATAGAATTCATCATGATTATCATACCGTTTGATGGAAAGCTTTCGCTGTTGGTTTTGATGTAAATGATTGATGTATAGGAAGCTTGTGTCCCTGATTTGCTGAAGTTTATGAGATCGGCTTAGCGTAAGATAATATACTGTTGATAAGGTTTTAAAATTAATTCTGTAGAAATATAAAGCGGTAAGCTGATTACTGTTTCATCTCTAGCATGGTATACAATTGATCAGTACGCAAGCTTATGAAATATGCAAATGATAAATGAAATTGATTTACATTATCAATGAGCAGTGTGAAACACGCCATTTATTTATTTTGTTGATAATTTTGTACTCAAGACAACATCTGATTTCGTCTTCATGTACCGAATTCACGTGTAGCATGAACCCGTACCTTACATTGGTGTCGTCGGCAAAACAAGTATACCAAATATGACGTTATGTATGAACCAATATTTCCTTACAAGACCGGGTTGAAGGACATTTCTTATCTAACCCTGCTCACTCTTTCACACTTGAAGTTGTCAGCCTCTCACGGTTGGTGTGTTGACTTTACCTATCAAACGATCGAAATGGCAAACCGGCACAAAATGAATGTCACTCTGACGTAACTTACCATGACAGGTATATCCTACACCGTTAAAACTAATATACTAAACAACACTATTGTTTCCATTATGAACATATTTTTAAAAACTTTTAACTTCTTTGTTTCAAAGAAGAAGAATTTTGCTTTACTGGGTTATATAATCTTGATATATATCTTTCTGGTAAAGATAATATCTTAGAAAATGTGTGTAGGATGTAAGCTTGCAACAGGGCGATTATTTCATAAACATTTGCTTTAGAGTGTTTTATTTGTATTTAGTGAGTGGAGGCGGCGTTGTAAATTTGTAATGTACATCTTCCATTGTAACAGCTGAACAATGATCATGTGGTGTTATATGTACTACTGTTTACTGCATCACATGTGAATCTTTCACCGTCTGATTGTATGATGCTGTGAATTTATAACCCCCAGGGTTACAACATATTACCGGTACATAATCGTCAAGAGGTGATTAGGGAACAATGGGTATGTGTTGTCGAACAATCAAAGTCTTTTCATCAGACACAAAATAATGGTCTGCTGTCTGTGGTCAGTTTTTTGCTGGTCAGTCGGGTGCCGTATAACAGGTTAATGATAGTGTGGGAAGTATATTAATGCCAAGACAAACATGCTGAGTTGTTGGTTGTCATAGTAAACACGAAATGATTAAAAAATAATTGTTTACGTAACGACATTTGAACTACATTTGCTTCGGTTAAAACCATTTAGAAAAATCTAACATAAAATGATATCTGTTTTGGTAGGCTATGCCTTGTTTGCAGTATAGGTAGTCAACAATGCTAACAGTACGTTCGATTTTTTAATTTCCGTTTCGAGTCAAACAGCGATGCATTAATAGAGGAAAGATATGTATTACGTTTGTAGGTATCTGTGACGACTGCTCACAACTATCACCCCGTCATTGCACATGACCTATATAAAGTATGACATTTTATACTTTATACTCGGTTTGGACACAATGACGAAAGTATTGGCAAATGATACCAGGCGTTGTAGGTCTCGTGCGGAATGCTGTTGGGTGTAATGCTTGTTTAATTAAATTTCGAAATGTCTAAAGACAGCGAACTCCTTCATACAATATTAACGCGCTATACGCGTAATGTTTCTAAAACTTCTCTCTCGAGAGCCTTCTGTTTATACTTTATCAGGAATTAACGTCCCCATGTGTCGAAATGTACGTGCATCAAACTAGTATTGAAATGCTTGAGTTATCTGAGCAACTTAACAGAGCTCGAGATATCATAAAAGCACAACAAGGCTCGAGATATCTGAGAAATATAACGAGCACGAGATATCATAGAAGTACAACAAGGCTCAAGATATCCTAGAAATACAACAAGGCTCGAGATATCTGAGAAATATAACAAGCACGAGATATCATAGAAGTACAACAAGACTCGAGATATCACAGAAGTACAACAAGGCTCGAGATATCTGAGAAAAATAACAAGCTCGAGATACATAAGAAATATGATAAGGTTGGAGATATTTGAGTAATGCTTCAAAGTTCAAGGTACCTGAGAAATAAAGCAGTGCTTAAGATAATTGTCAAATTTAATGCAATTTGTTACGTCTAACATGTATGTGACATTTTGCAATGCTTGACAATGTTTGATAATAAAAAGGGATTTTCAAACTTTATGCTGTACTTCCTTACCAAAAATGCTCCCTTAGGATTGCTTTTGAAGTTTGAATGTCAAAGGTCAAGGGCAGTGTAACCATGTATAGGAGATTGGTTTTTATTATAATACCTTTCTATGAACAATAACACTCAAACTTCATTCAGTGCTTCCTTACCAAAGGGACTTGCTTGGGACTGCTTTCCAGATTTGAAGGTAAAATGTCAAGGTCATTGTTACTATAAATAGCAAATTTGTTTCGTACAATAGCCTTACCAAAGGTACTTACTTTGAATTGCTTTTCATGTCAAAAGGTCAAAGTTCAAGGTCACTGTAACTGTAAAAAATTGATTGCTTTTTAGGTCGGATGTCCCCGTTCCTGCTGCATACGGAGCAAATCAGTATTTTTTAAAATTCTAATTCTGAGCGTAATTGTGATACATGGATCTACTCTCGGGATTCAGTTCCATTTGACACTATGATTTGCAATTGAATAAACACAATTGATATATATGGCAATTGTTCCATAAAACTCATCTCCATAAACCTTGCTGGGCAGGTGACACGTCCACATCCTTGGAATTCTTGTTGTACCACGAATTCATGGCGTCACACTTACAGATCTACTACATAAAGGTGTGATATAACTCCCGAATATATCACAGGACAGGTATGTGGTCGTATGTTAGAGTTTACTCGCTACTTCGATGGTAGAATAAATTGTAGGCATAAATGCTGCCTATAGAGATATCAAAATAAAATCGATTTGCAAATCTAATCCGCATCAGGCGCCGATAAAATAGAGTTATGTATAACGATTTTAGAAACAGCGTTATCTCGTGATTCAAGTTTAATTTGAATCGTATATTCTCATATACATCCCTGAAAACCGTCAAAACAAGAAGACGTGCAGAGATTCATGGGGACAATTCAAAGATAACTGACTCCCGTGTGATAAAGAAAGAAAGCAGTTCTGATTTGTAGGACGAGAGTGCTCCGCCATCACTTCAGCGATCGCCCACATTCCAGGCATGGGGTTTATATAATAATAGATCGTGAAAACGCCTGGCGTTCCAGCCATATACATTTATACTTAGCACGGACAAGTGATTGGATGATTTTATTAGACTGTCCAATACCGTCTTTCGTTATGTCCCAGACAATTCTCTTCATTTACATAATTCACAAATTAGCCTGAGTGTAGTAAAAAGACAAGACGTAATGTTTTATTATGACAATTTAGGAGTACCGTGTTATAGTAGACATAGCTTTCACAGCTTATGATATTGGTTCTATTACATATGATTGTGGAGAAGTTCTTACAGCTGCACAGCAGTCTTACTGATGTCGCCCTCGTGTGTGTTATGTCCCCTAGACTCGTGGATAAATCCCGGAAATCCGGAAGCAGATTTGAAAATATCCAGTATGAAAAAGATACCTTTAACCTCCTTATATAAACGAAGAATTCATTTTATATATCAATTTTCTCAAACTTTATTGGAAATTCTTGAAATTGCAATATATCCCCCAACAGAATTATAACCAACATGAATGTGCACGCGATCAATTTGTTTTGTGAGATAACGGTATATTGGACGCAGCACAAGTTATATTGGAAACACGAGATTTTAACAAGGGGCTATTACTGATGGCTATTTCAGCACAACGATGAATGTCAATATTTTATCTAAATGTGTTACTGTTCAGTGTAATTGTAATAACTTCCATGTTGTTGGTAAACTCTATTAGGATTGCTCAATTTCTGTCTGACTGGATAGAAATGCAGATATCTGTGAACAAAATCACAAACAGAACAGCGAATTTATTAAAAAGTTTGATAAAATTCTTCATTATTTTAAAAGCGTCATAGAAATATGCATGACTTTCTTTTTATCTTAAGTATCATTTGAGAAATATGATCATAAACAATTTGATGTGATATTTATATAACGTTAGAACAACATTATACCCCGGACAGAACTGATATCTTGATCATTACAACTACCTTGAACAATACTGCTACCCTGAAAAATACTGCTACCTTGAACATTACTACTACCCTGAACATTACTGTTACCCTGAACATTACTGTTACCCTGAACAATACTGCTACCTTGAACAATACTGTTAGCCTGAACAATACTACTACCCTGAACAATACTGTTACCCTGAACAATACTGCTACCTTGAACATTACAACTACCTTGAACAATACTGCTACCCTGAAAAATACTGCTACCTTGAACATTACTACTACCCTGAACATTACTGTTACCCTGAACAATACTGTTACCCTGAACATTACTGTTACCCTGAACAATACTGTTAGCCTGAACAATACTACTACCCTGAACAATACTACTACCCTGAACATTACTGTTACCCTGAACAATACTACTACCCTGAACAATACTACTACCCTGAACAATACTACTACCCTGAACATTACTGCTACCTTGAACAATACTACTACCCTGAACAATACTACTACCCTGAACAATACTACTACCCTGAACAATACTACTACCCTGAACAATACTGTTACCCTGAACAATACTTTTACCCTGAACAATACTGTTACCCTGAACAATACTACTACCCTGATACTACTACCCTGAACATTACTGTTACCCTGAACAATACTACTACCCTGAACAATACTACTACCCTGAACAATACTACTACCCTGAACATTACTGTTACCCTGAACAATACTGTTAGCCTGAACAATACTACTACCCTGAACAATACTACTACCCTGAACAATACTGTTACCCTGAACATTACTGTTACCCTGAACAATACTGTTACCCTGAACAATACTGTTACCCTGAACAATACTGTTACCCTGAACATTACTGTTACCCTGAACAATACTACTACCCTGAACATTACTGTTAGCCTGAACAATACTACTACCCTGAACAATACTACTACCCTGAACAATACTGTTACCCTGAACAATACTGTTACCCTGAACATTACTGTTACCCTGAACAATACTACTACCCTGAACATTACTGTTTGCCTGAACAATACTACTACCCTGAACAATACTACTACCCTGAACAATACTGTTACCCTGAACATTACTGTTACCCTGAACAATACTACTACCCTGAACAATACTACTACCCTGAACAATACTACTACCCTGAACAATACTACTACCCTGAACAATACTACTACCCTGAACAATACTGTTACCCTGAACAATACTACTACCCTGAACATTACTGTTACCCTGAACAATACTGTTAGCCTGAACAATACTACTACCCTGAACAATACTGTTACCCTGAACAATACTACTACCCTGAACAATACTGTTACCCTGAACAATACTACTACCCTGAACAATACTACTACCCTGAACAATACTGTTAGCCTGAACATTACTACTACCCTGAACAATACTACTACCCTGAACAATACTGTTACCCTGAACAATACTGTTACCCTGAACATTACTGTTATCCTGAACATTACTGTTACCCTGAACAATACTACTACCCTGAACAATACTACTACCCTGAACATTACTGCTACCTTGAACATTACTGTTACCCTGAACATTACTGTTACCCTGAACAATACTACTACCCTGAACAATACTGTTATCCTGAACATTACTGTTACCCTGAACATTACTGTTATCCTGAACATTACTGTTACCCTGAACAATACTACTACCCTGAACAATACTGTTACCCTGAACAATACTACTACCCTGAACAATACTGTTACCCTGAACAATACTACTACCCTGAACAATACTGTTACCCTGAACAATACTGTTACCCTGAACATTACTGTTACCCTGAACATTACTGTTACCCTGAACAATACTGCTACTGTTACCCTGAACAATACTACTACCCTGAACATTACTGTTACCCTGAACATTACTGTTACCCTGAACATTACTGCTACCTTGAACAATACTACTACCCTGAACAATACTGCTACCTTGAACAATACTACTACCCTGAACATTACTGTTACCCTGAACATTACTGTTACCCTGAACATTACTGCTACCTTGAACAATACTACTACCCTGAACAATACTACTACCTTGAACAATACTACTACCCTGAACATTACTGTTACCTTGAACAATACTGTTAGCCTGAACAATACTGTTAGCCTGAACAATACTGTTAGCCTGAACAATACTGTTACCCTGAACATTACTGCTACCTTGAACAATACTGTTACCATGAACAATACTGTTACCATGAACAATACTGTTACCATGAACAATACTGTTACGTTGTACAATCTACAAGATTGTAGGTGTTAGACACTGCTGGCAGACTTTTCGACCCCGAGATTTGCCATAATCAGAATGCTACGTTTTAATCCATTCGAGTAATGGTACGTTTTAGAATATATACATTTACTAGAATTTGAGTCTTGTTTCGATCATTTTAATTTTTTCTCATTCGTATCTTAGACTTCAAAATTCAAGCCCTTAGTATCACCTGCGAGTCCTAGAAGGACGAAACAGCAGTAGGATACAGTTTAATTCATTGTTTGGCTCTACTGTATCTAACTAAATTTGTAACAAACATATAGACACCTCTCTGGAAATGAAGCCTAGCGATTGTTTACTGACAATGCTTGACCTTTAACCTCCATATTGCATGATATTAATTGAGCGTGCAGCAGCATCGTGTGACGTTATTACAAGTTTAGCGAGTGTGTATTTTGCAATGATGATGAATTGACGACATCTACTTGTGCGACCAGATACAAAACAAGACAATAGATAATAGATACCATATACTCTGGTCAGGTCGGCTTCAGATTGAGTGTTATGTAGACAGCGATCGACAAGGTGTCACAACATCAGGAAAGTGAGAATCATACACAATGACAGCAAAGTAAAACATTCTGTTCCAGTGTTTTCTGGACAAGCAAACACAGTGATATATTAAATCTTTAAAATATGTTAGAATTTAACTTTAATTTTGTTTTTTGTTTCAGTACTTTTATTTTTATTTGTCTTTTTTTTTTTTTTAATTTTCTTTCCTTTTCTTTTTTTTTTCTTGACCTGTCTTTTTATTTCTTTCTTGTCAAACAATTTTAATTATTCCAATGACTAAGATCGGATGCTGATGTTGGAGTCTGATTTTCTTAGATTGGAAGAAACACGACAGAACTTGACTAAAGTGGTTTATGTGCATACACATTAAAATTAGTTTGGTACTGTTTTGATAGTTGCAATTGATTTATGCGTGATTTTAATGCCCAGCAACGTTTGATTGTGAGACACACCACAGTCACTGTTAAAAGTACAAGTGTATGATTCATACGTTGTAAATATCAACACTATCAACATTACTAAGCACTTTGTTAGATATCCCTTCAAGTCCCAAGCTAAATTAAGGTAACACAGTATAGCATTGTATTTTGTCTATTTCCTCGATATAACTATTATGTTGTCATTTCTTAATGTTTTTGTTATTTATATACATATATGTAGACTTTATTTCATATCTTGTAGAAGAGCCATGACTTTCAGCGTTACTAGAAAAAAAGTGATATATTTACCAGCCTGTGAATAATATGACAACTTTCTACCAATAGATTTGTAGGTCTTTCTAATTCGCTCCTGGCGGGCTCCTAATTCTACCTGATCGGTTGCCAAATTTTAAAGCGATTTAAATTGAAATATATAAGGACATATCGGTATTTTATCTTGGAGGTTGTTCTGAATAGTAAAACTTATGGTCCTGACTTAATTTTTTAACTTTAGGTACAGTGATAGTTGCCAGGCACTACACTATACTTTCTAAGGTACGACGCCCCAAGGGCGACAATTCACTTTAAGTAAACCAAGTGTATGGATGAACATGATCGATGTATAGGTCTCCCGTGAGTTTGTACGTGTTGGTCGTCAATCAACATATCCGGTTTTCCTCCCAAGAGGAACAAACGATTTGGAAGTAACTAACTTGCCATTAAGGAAAGACAATTACACCATTCACATTACTCACATAACTTTTATAACCATTTTAAAAGATATTTCACGAAACAATGTTAAACAACTTGAATGTATTTAATGTGTGAATATTTGTGCACGCGGTTGTAAATGCACTTCCGGTTCACGGATAGAAGCCCAATTAAGGATAATTGACGGTATTATATTCATTTATTATCTATTATTTTTTGGTTTATATATATATATATGAGGTTAAATGATAAAGACGAAATCTTGCTCTTTGTAAAGTATTTGTATATTTCTGTTAAGTTTACATAACGACATATACATAGACTTGTAAGGGATATGGCGTGTTTTGTGAACAACGTGTCAGAAAAATGTTTCGGAAAACAAATAACATTGGATTTGCGAATCCAATGTATGTAAGCAAAATGAGAGTGGTGTGTATATGGAGAGTAAGGAATATAAAAGTATACATGTATATGTCTTTTTCAATATGTTCTTTCTCAAAAACAAAAAAGTTAGAACATGTACATTGCATTATCAATGTACGTTGTACCATTGATATAATTGATTCACATTGAGATGACAAGAAAATGGTAGATCGGGAAAGAAGGTAATGAGATGATATGACGGGTAGATGGACAGAAGATCAACCAAATGATTACTAGGGTCAATTTGACTAAATCAAAGTTAATTCGGTAAAAAAAAAAGTGACTGGGATTTGCTGGTTATAAATTGCAACGTAAACACTCGTAAAACAGCATACGCTGACATTTAGATTAAAGCGAAGGTATACATTTCAATCAAAGATAAGCAGAATGAATTAGTGTTGTCCACTTACACTCGACACCAATATTCACAAATAAAGAAATAAAGTTGCTTATAAACAACACCGAAACAAATCTACTGAAGTTGACAAAATTAAAAAGACGGAAAAATAAAATAATACGAAATTGGTTATGAGGTGAGCAATCTTTAGTAACTATGTCATAATAACATAATTATCTCCCTTGACATGACAAGACGTTTCCAGATGATCTCCCTTTTCATGACTTGACGTTTCTAACCTATCTCCCTTGTCATGACTTGATGTTTCCAGATTATCTCCCTTGTCATGACTTGATGTTTCCGGATTATCTCCCTTGACATTACTGGACGTTTCCAGATCATCGCCCTTGACATTACTGGACATTTCCAGATTATCTCCCTTGACATGACTGGACATTTCCATATTATCTCCCTTGTCATGACTTGAGGTTTCCAGATTATCTCCCTTGACATGACCTCTTGGTTCTAACCAATCAAAATCAGCGATTGTAATCTACCTGATATTACGAGGTGTATACCAGACTTACTTACATGACTGGATGCGACTACGTGAAACCTGATAGAGATCTATTTAAGTATATAAGTACATGAACTTTGATGACGACACTCCCTGATGAGTGGCAATATCCGAGGGCTGGCTTTTAGATCTTCAATGCAATGTACGCTCCTTATTGAATGTATTCAATATATAAGAAAGTCACGCAACCGGCCAATAAAAATCGAGATGTTGATTGTCAACGGATAGGGGTTGTGTCTGGTAGCACTCCTGGTTGAGTAGTTTATATCGTAAAACAACCCCCTAGTTAGACAATTCCATGTTAACTTCAAAAGATCTCAGTGAAATAGGGCAACTCACAATATCTTGCAGATGCCGGTCACGACGAGATGCAGTATACATATCTTCTTTTAAAGTATACCATTGAGAACTTTTTTTTCTGAAAACAAGAAATTTAACAAGGTAGAAGAACATCGAGAAAAGTGCAAAGTATAAACAATAATGACACTGTTTCACACCGTAACCCAAAACTCAAATGTAAAATACAGAAATCTTCCGATTTTAACTGGTATGCAATAGTGTTTTTATATACAAATACATTATAAACGTATTCCGAAAGTATCGGCCATCTTTAATTACTGTGCACAGATATCCTTTACCACACAGAAGGGTTGATCCAAATCATAGATTATTTAATAATTTTGTACCTCGGTTACAACACGACGGTATGTAGAAAAGACAGTTAGAATTGGGTAACCTTTCTACTGTAAAAAAACGTTTTTTGTTATTTATGTCAGAAAAGGCACTGATTGGCAAACAAGGGAAACTACTCATTAATGACTCGTTGGCAGCAAACATTTGCATTTCTGTATCATTAATCTAAATTTTGTAGAGTGTTATGTTTAGAGAAGGATACGACCTACCTCGTTTGTATTCATGAACGCCATAGATGTACACAGCGTTTTATCACCAAATGTTGTTCTACCAGAATCGTTGTACATGTACGAAATTATACGAACATTCCAGCTTAGTCTTTGTTTAGATATTCATGTTTCTGAGGTTAACTGGGGAATTATTATTAAATTAGATTTTGTCTTGAAACACGTATCTACAAGTGTTCCGACTGATAAAAACCTTTTATAAATTCTGTATTTGCCACAATGATCAGTTAAACCGAATGTATTTCAATATCTATTGATTAGTTAACAAAATATCAGTAATTTCGTAAAAATAAGAAATTACATGTGTCACATTTTCCATGGATACACTTAATCGACACATGTTATTACTATCACGATTCTTAGTTTTAGGAACATGACATCTGTTGGTTTTGCATTAGATTTGCATTGCTAACGAGTGCTGCAGTCATTGCCATAGTTGCATCCAAGACAGCAATGTTATTCGATAGTTACTATTATAACTGTATAAGTCATTGTAGGTAGAATTATCCGTTTTTGTTTAAGGAATTTCAAATGTAAAAAAATGCATGCAATCATTTGGGATTAAAGTCTGCAACATACGTTCGACCAAAGAATTAAGATTTTGAAATGCAGATGATTAGTATGCCAAAACAATGCGCCAATGCAGTTCATGCTATAATGGGCCAAAAGTCTTTTTCTGCCAAGTTATAAATCGTACTGGTACCGTTTTGGCAGGTCGTGTATTGGTCTAGGTGGAATGTGTAATAACGAAATGTCAAACTTTATTTAAATTTTAAGTTTTCACAAAATACGGATAAAAGCTTCATTAAAACAAAAAAGACATAAAATCGAAAAATATTAGAAACATTTCTTTTCAAAAAAATAATTACGAAAGATTGTCGAGGGAAAGAGGTTTCTGAATTTGACAAGATTTCAAATTTTATTCTCAAAAGAAACTGTCTTAACAGAAAAAAATCTCTCCAGAATCAGAAATTCAAATAAGACGCCATGAAGACTAAACGGCAGAGTGTAATTGCCTAGAGTTGGGGGACAAGACATACTATACTCATTTCGTTTGAATTCGTAATCAGACAAATGAATATTCATCAAAAAAGAAAAGAGGTTGGATTTATTTCAAATTACTTGGACTCGTTCACTTTAGGTGTGCATGCCGTCATTAAATCACTTTGGTGTGTCTCATCATACGTATTTTTACCACGTGCAGGATACGTCATTATGCACCTTCTGGACATGACAGGACATACTTACCAACTGTACATCTTTAAGTGGTATACCCCGGTAGCTATCTGACTATCTGACTTTTTGTCTCTAGCGTTCATTGAACGTATCTAGACAATATCTAGAAATCTTGTCTTCAGCTGGGCACGATAAGAGTCAAATGGACCTTGGTACTGAAAAGACACAATCTATAAAACATTTTACATATTAAAGAATACAATATAATGAAAATTGTCAGAATTGTGTGAGTTTGTAGTTTAAATACTAATATGGCAATAGATGTTATTTTTAACTATGCTATATTTACAAAGTCCGGAAGATTTTTTGAAACAATTTATACACCCCCACCCCCGAAAAAAAAAAAAACACAAAAAAACCCCACCTCTATCAATAGCAGAGAGTTAGGACTGTGACGGATTGGACAAAGGTACTCAAGCAAAGAGCACCTTTGACCTTCGAATACAAATTTAGAATTAGATAATAAACTCAACTGCTTGATGCAGAAGTTCTGAGCTTCCCTAAATTTTGCAAACCCGTAATTGGTCAAAGTAAATATTTAAAATCGAGATAGGGGAGGTTCGCTATTCACAAAATTCGATAAATAATTTTCGACTTTGAGTGATATATTTTAACGACATTAGCTTATTTAAGACAGTACAATTTGTAAAATATATATTATAGCATGTAATTACCAGATGCTGATGGTTATCATGGCGAATGCAGAATTGACTTAGGAGAGAAGTACTCTCTTTGTTCTTTTAACTATAAACATTAAACTATATTTCAAAAACATCGTCGATGCTGATAACATTTACAAAATCAGACAAAAGGAAGTGAATATATGACATGGGGGAGGGGTGGGGAAGGAGGGGGGGGGGAGAGGTTAAGACTCTTAGCGGACATACTGTTAACCACCGATAAGGTTAATGACATAGAGGCGTCCCCAGACAACGCTAAATTACCAAGACGTATTACCTAAACGCAAAAAAGAACTAACGTCAAGTCGAAATTCAAGACTGTGGGCGAAAAACTGTGGACGGAACATAGCAAAGCGGAAACGAAATATACAGCTTTCATTTCCTGTCTATGATATACTGCCTACTGAAAGATGAGGTCGAGGATCCAGATCCGAATTCTCCTTTGGGAATTCAAAGACGCCATGAAATCGGACCGTCCGACAGTTTTGTTTCTTGCATTCATTTTGATATTCTTCAACGTAATGGATTCACCGACAGAAGTTGATTCAGGCCCGACAACAATCAAATGTTACATAAGAAGTTAGACTATCTCCTCAAGGAATACGAGAGTGATTCCAGATATTATAAACTTGCGGGTGTCGTTATAGATGGCTGTACGCTATCACAGGCGACCTTCTATTGGAGCGGTGCAAGTGACGCGGACTTTAACAGCTTAGTTACCGTTTAAACAAACGGGAATTATCGGAAACAGCGTGATGTTACATAATGTTGCCTCATAACTCACCGAGTAATATCTGTTAAGGTGACTCTGGAGTTTTACATCTTTAATCTAATGTGATGAAAACATTGACCTAGTTTTTTTTCAGAAAGCACTATTCGGTATATATATAAATATATTGTAATTGAAATCCGGTTATTGCTGGTATCACAACCATACATAGCCTTGTATACGCATTGTTAAGTATGGTTTGATAGTAGGAAGCACTCGGTGAGGTGGTATTGGGGTTTCATTCAAACATTCACAAACACAGATGGTTACTGATTGTACCAAAGCAATACATTAGGATTCACGTATCCGTGTAGGTAAAATGATTAAACATGATAAGACTTTTATTCATCCTTAATAAAATTCCTAGTCAGCAAACCTGGTAGAAACATCATCGGAGTTTGCAATGAGGGTAGCAAAAAAGTTTATGAGTCCAAATTTTACAAGTTTGATCAGTTAAGCTTGGTAAGGCCGGACAAATGACATATGTATCTCATTTTTCGTTATTGCAAAGACGTATTCAGATTTCTATAGCCCCTCTGTCTATATCTCTGTCTATATCTCTGTCTATATCTCTGTCCATATCTCTGTCTATATCCCCTCTGTCTATATCTCTGTCTATATCTCTGTCTATATCTCTGTCTATATCCCCTCTGTCTATATCTCTGTCTATATCCCCTCTGTCTATATCTCTGTCTATATCTCTGTCTATATCTCTGTCTAAATCACCTATGTCTATATCGCGGTCTATATCTCTGTCTATATCTCTGTCTATATCTCTGTCTATATCTCTGTCTATATCTCTGTCTATATCTCTGTCTATATCTCTGTCTATATCTCTGTCTATATCTCTGTCTATATCTCTGTCTATATCTCTGTCTATATCTCTGTCTATATCTCTGTCTATATCTCTGTCTATATCTCTGTCTATATCTCTGTCTATATCTCTGTCTATATCTCTGTCTATATCTCTGTCTATATCTCTGTCTATATCTCTGTCTATATCTCTGTCTATATCTCTGTCTATATCTCTGTCTATATCTCTGTCTATATCTCTGTCTATATCTCTGTCTATATCTCTGTCTATATCTCTGTCTATATCTCTGTCTATATCTCTGTCTATATCTCTGTCTATATCTCTGTCTATATCTCTGTCTATATCTCTGTCTATATCTCTGTCTATATCTCTGTCTATATCTCTGTCTATATCTCTGTCTATATCTCTGTCTATATCCCCTCTGTCTATATCTCTGTCTATATCTCTGTCTATATCTCTGTCTATAT